CCTAGTGTCAATACTAGTCCTAGTCTAGTCCTAGTATCAGTACTAGTCCCAGTCTAGTCCTAGTGTCAATACTAGTCCTAGTCTAGTCCTAGTGTCAATACTAGTCCCAGTCTAGTCCTAGTATCAGTACTAATCCTAGTCTAGTCCTAGTGTCAATACTAATCCTAGTCATCAATACTTCACTCAATAGCACAGAAATCATTTCCTAGGGTCATCAACAATTGTTCAAATAAGGTCCCCCAAGCAGACACCCGAAAAAGAATCTATTCAAAAAGAAAAGGGCTTTCAGGGACAAATGCAAATGAGAAGAGGGATTGGGGTGAGATATTGATTGGCTGGGTGTTCAAATCGGGGAAAGGAAAAACGGCTAGGGTGAAGAGAGAGAATGGGGGAGTGACTGGTCCTCACAATTACGGCATTTATTCTAACAGAAGCTCAGCTTCCAATAGTAGCTCAGCCTCCAATAGCAGCTTAGCCTCCAATAGAAGCTCAGCCTCCAATAGAAGCTCAGTCTCCTATAGAAGCTTAGCCTCTAATCGAAGCTCAGCCTCCAATAGAAGCTCAGCCTTCAATAGAAGCTCAGCCTCCAATAGAAGCAATAACTATAGATTTTCAGCTCAGTTGACCAAATACCCTGAGTTTTGAACCTTTAAGAATATATAAAGCTACCTAGACATTTCCTTTAGGAAAATTTCATTCTTTATCATTTGTTTTGCATAAATAGTGATAAGTTTGATAAAAATTTTGATAAGTTTTACTTACAGTTAGGTAGATAGCTTATTTGAATTGAATTTATAACTTAAATTTAATGTATAACAATTTATAACGACCAGGTTTACTAAATTCTTAAGCTTAAGAGGTCGAGCTTAAGAGGTCGAGCTTAAGAGGTCGAGCTTAAGAGGTCGAGCTTAAGAGGTCGAGCTTAAGAGGTCGAGCTTAAGAGGTCGAGCTTAAGAGGTCGAGCTTAAGAGGTCGAGCTTAAGAGGTCGGCTAAGGGTCGGCTAGGGTCGAGCTAAGAGGTCGGCTAAGAGGTCGAGCTTAAGAGGTCGAGCTTAAGAGGTCGAGCTTAAGATAATTTATGCTATAAAACTCTCAAAGCTTTCAACATTTTGACGTTTTATATTTTAATATTCAATCCTTTAAGTAAAGAATTTGCTTAGTTCTTGCTTTCTTGCTTAGTTCTTTTTTTAGATTCTTGCATGAACTGCCTAAAAATCATTGGCAATATTTCAACCGTGCACGCAAAACCTTTGTTTGTTTTTGGCTTGATAAGAATCTTGTGATGTTTATGACTTGACATTTTCATTGCGATTCCGATTTGACTGGCTTCTTCATTTCAAGATTTCGAGAAAGCTTCTTCATTTCAAGCTCTCAAAAGGTTGGTTTTGACCGATCCTTATCAACTGCATATCTTTAGAACTAACAAGGAAGGTTCGTCAACTTACCACCAGTTTTTAAAACCTGGTCTAGCAGATCTAGATAGGTTTTTTTGCGCTGATTCCGAATCTGTATTCAAATCTATCCCGGACGATCTATGAGACCAAGAAAAATGGTTTTAAAGTTGGCTAAAATATGGATATTTGCGCAAATAAGACACCGCTTTTAAGAAGGAAAGTTAAGGGAGGGAAGGCTTCAGAGGGCGTAGATAGGTAGAAGATTTGAGGTGGATTTGAGTACAGATTCGTAAACAGCGCGAAAAACTGGTCTAGATGTGCTAGGCCACGTTTTAAAAGCTAATGGCAAGTTGACAAATCTCCCTTGTAAGCAATTGTAAGCAATTGTAAGCAACGGTAAGTCATTGTAAGCAATTGTAAGCCATTGTAAGCAACTGTAAGCCCTTGTAAGCCATTTTAAGCAATTGTATACAACTGCAACTGTAAGCAATTGTAAGCAAGTGATTTGCGTTGATTACCAATTTCTCCACACTCTACCATGAGAAACAAAATCAGTGCTTAAACCTAATCCTCAAGCAACAATTGGCCTTCTAAGAATTCGCTTGCTAGTAAGGGTGACTGAATACTTTACTTATTATCATTTCTATTTACCACTTTTTGTAGATCTTTAAAGTTCCGTTCACGCCCAATAATGACTCCTGATAAGAATCGATTTATCATAAGTCGGCAAAAAATGCAGAACCCTTCAAACTTTATTTAGTGATTCATCTGGAATTTCCCTAAAACTGTCATTTGTAAAAGGCCAGCTGGTCATAATTTTCTTCTTTTTTCGAAATCTTTCAAACAAATCTTTTTTCAAATCCAAATAAGCAGCTGTGCTTAATATGAGTCACGAAAATATTTACATCAAAGCAAAGCAGCTCAAATTTTTGTATTCTGTTAGATTGGTTAGCTTCAAGGTATTTTTCACCACCAAATCAAGCAGAAGTAGAGTGTGTTTCTTTCGAGTAATTCATTCTAAAAGACGCCTATTCTAAAAAAACTACCGTAATCCATTTATTTAGTTAATTTTTGTATCATTGAGTTTAGTCATTGACTGCGCCGGGCAATTCCACAGAATGATACTAAAATTGAGGCTTTTGTCTATCGTAGTTTTCCAAAATAAGCTCTACTTTAGAAAGCTATTACTCAAAAAGGAATACACAATAATTTCTGGGTTTTTTGATGATGTGCTTTAGCTTTGAAATCCAATCACTCTTTTAACAGAAAAGTGTGTGGCCAACAGCTTTCCAATGTGGCCAACAGCTTTCAACTCTGGTCAACAGCTTTCAACTGTGGTCAACAGCTTTCAACTGTGGCCAAACAGCTTTCAACTGTGGCCAACAGCTTCCAACTGTGGCCAACAGCTTTCAACTGTAGCCAACAGCTTCCAACTGTAGCCAACAGCTTCCAACTGTGGCCAACAGCTTCCAACTGTGGCCAACAGCTTTCAACTGTAGCCAACAGCTTCCAACTGTAGCCTACACTATTGACCTCAGCTTCTTTTCTAGACACTTTCCCAAACCATTCCCAACTCTTTCCAATTCTTCCCAATTCTTTCCAATTCTCAATTTTGTCATTCCATTGTTTTCCAAGAAAGAACACGATAATACCGTATTGTTTTTGGAGTCTCAAAAACGGACACAAAAAAAGGCAAATACATAGAATAGGAGGGACTTTTCGGCCTTTTTCGGTTCTCCGATCCTTTCCCCAAAGTCAAAGGCCTTTTGCCTTTTCTCCATTCCGACGTCCCCGTATTTGAAATCTTTTCTTTTCCATGTTTCTTTTCAGGAACAGCCTCTTTCCCTTTTTTCAATCCGCGTCCGCTTCTCTTTTTTGTTCTGTTTTGTTTTTCTATTGCTTCTCGCAGATTCTATTACAAGCACTCTCCACAAAACACAAAAATCTCTTCACAATTCTCTTTTGCAATAGTGACCCTTAAGTGTTTTCTGTGTGTTTACGTTTTTTGGCCTGCTTTCCTAAGATTCCCGGTTCTTGATGAGATGCACAAATTTGCTGACAACGAGATGGATGACTATAATTTAGGAAGTGGATAGTGTAGTGATTGGATGGTTTGTTGAGGGAAAAAGAAGGGATTCACGTGAACACATACAGATCAAACAATAGTAGAGCTTTGGACAAAAGGTTTTATATCTTTAGATTAATCAACTCAGCTTACTTATTTGATACTTGATAAAACTTTACTTACTTTACTTGATAAAGCTTTACTTCCTTTACTTGATGAAGCTTTACTTACTTGATAAAGCTTTACTTCCTTTACTTGATAAAGCTTTACTTTACTTGATAAAGCTTTACTTACTTTACTTCCTTTACTTGCTTTACTTGATAAAGCTTTACTTACTTTACTTGATAAAGCTTTACTTACTTTATTGGATAAAGCTTTACTTCCTTTACTTGATAAAGCTTTACTTCCTTTACTTGATAAAGCTTTACTTACTTTATTGGATAAAGCTTTACTTCCTTTACTTGATAAAGCTTTACTTCCTTTACTTGATAAAGCTTTACTTGCTAAAGCTTTACTTACTTTACTTGATAAAACTTTACTTCCTTTACTTAATAAAGCTTTGCTTACTTGATCAACCTTTGCGTACTTTACTTGATAAATCATTTGGACAAAAGGTTTTATATCTTTAGATTAATCAACTCAGCTTACTTATTTGATACTTGATAAAACTTTACTTACTTTACTTGATAAGCTTTCTTCCTTTCTTGTGAAGCTTTACTTACTTGATAAAGCTTTGCTTACTTGATAAGGCTTTACTTACTTGATAAAGCTTTACTTCCTTTACTTGATAAAGCTTTACTTTACTTGATAAAGCTTTACTTACTTTACTTCCTTTACTTGCTTTACTTGATAAAGCTTTACTTACTTTACTTGATAAAGCTTTACTTCCTTTACTTGATAAAGCTTTACTTACTTTATTGGATAAAGCTTTACTTCCTTTACTTGATAAAGCTTTACTTCCTTTACTTGATAAAGCTTTACTTACTTTACTTGATAAAACTTTACTTCCTTTACTTAATAAAGCTTTGCTTACTTGATCAACCTTTGCGTACTTTACTTGATAAATCATAGGACTTGACTAAACTAAGTCAAGAACTAAATCAGGCATTTGACTTTATCAAAAAGATAAGCACAGCTGGTTTTCTTGGCCTTTGACTTACTCTGACCTTGATTTTACAAAAGTTTTGAAACATTTTCATGAAATAACCCAGGAGTTTTATTGAAGCTTTCACTTTTATTTTAATTAAACTATTGCTGGTCATCCATCCATCAAATTTGTTTGTTTATTGCTGCCATTTCTGGAAAACTTTATCAATTTTTGTCTCTCTGAGAATCTAATCGCTTTTTTTGAAGTGGAAACAGAATTTCATTGATTACATAAATTTCATTGCCAACCGGAATTCGGTTGTTGAAAAAACTATACATTTTTTTGTAAATTCCTTTCTGATTTTAGCTTTTATTCAATATTTGACTGAAACTCTAATACTTTTTATTCAGAACTATTCACTGCTGACGGTACTTTTTGCAGTTTTCTTCCCTTCATGTCTTCCACAGACGTCTGTGATCTCCCGAAGGGATTTTGGGAAATCGGGAATTATCGGTGAGTAAAAATGATCAATTAGACTAGAAAAATGCACTTTTAGACTTAAAAGAATTTGAAAACTTTATCTATTAAACATTTTGAGCCTTGAATCTTGAAGCCTTGAAGCCTTGAATCAATACTTTAGCCACAATGTCCGTAGAATCAAAGACGGAGTCGATCAGTTGGACGACTTTGCGAAGATGTGTCGCGAGAGAGCGGATATTGAAGGGAAATATGCAAAAATGTTACAGGTTTTTAGTTTTGAAAGTTGAATTTTAAGCCCAAGAATTGAAAAGCAACGTCATTTTTAGGCATTCAGTCAAAAATGGAGAAATCACTTTGAGCAAACGATGCCGCCTTCCTCGACGAGGTAGGAATAAGCAAATCAAATTTAAATCTACGATTTATAAAAGAATTGTAGAATTTTAGATTTTAAAAGTTATTCTATAAGTATTTTATAAGTATTGGGTTGGTGAATTGAAAACTGCCGGACTTGAAAACTGAACTAAAATTTATTCAACATACAACCATAAATTCATTCCAAATAATTTCCATTATTATTGACGACTTCTGCCCATTTTACAGGCAATTTGCGGATTCCTCTTTCGTAGTAGGGTTTTGGTTTGTGTGTGAGACAAGTGTGAGACTCAAAAATCGAGGACTGGAGATGTCAGCTGTCAGCCCAGTTTGAGCACTTTCTTCAAAAGAAACCCATTTTGGTGTCAATAGAAAAGTTGTAGAGAATCAAAATTTAGGCTTATAGCCAAATTTCCAAAAAGATACACTTAGTAGTTTCGCTTAAAATGCAAGTTTTGTCGCAAGTTTGTTGCAAGTTTTGTGAAAATTCGTAAATTTGGCATTTCTCGAAAATCAGTTTTTGAATCGTTCTGAAAATTTGGATATAAGCTTAATTTTTGATTCTCTACAACTTTTCTATTGACACCAAAATGGGTTTCTTCTGAAGGAAGTGCTCAAACTGTCACATATGACAATAGCCGGCAGTTTTCAATTCACCAACCCAATATAAAAGAATTGTAGAATTGTAGGTTTTTTAAATTTATTCTATAAGTATTCTATAAGTATTCTATAAGTATTTTATAATTACTTTATAAGTATTTTATAAGTAGAAATCATTTTCTGCAAATTTCTTTACCTGAAAAACCTCAGAACATCTCTAATGGAGGTGATCGGTGAGAGTGACTCGTTGGCAAATCTGCACGCAATGGCTAGAGATCGTCTCAATGATGAGGTTTGTCAAGAGCTGCTTTTGAAAATTCAAGACTAATAAAGAACGATAGATTTATAAGCAATATCATGATCAGCGGGACGCGTATAAAAGGTGGAACATACGCGCCCCGCCCCTTTGCCATTGGAAATCCACCTTTGAGCTCAAATATCTTGGTGTTGGGCTGTCCAATTGAAATAGTTTTTGTACCAATCGATAGAGAAAGACTTGGCGCATCTAATGATACCAAATATTCAGTAATCAATATCATTCAGATCGTGAAAACTCTCAGCTTATTCCGAAAAGAAAACCACCATCCATCCGCCTTTCGAGCACCGAAAGAGATCCGAGAAGTTGAGGATGCTTTTGAAAAGGTTATTTTAATTTTCCAGACTTTAGTAATAAGCTTAAATACATGTTTACCTAAATCAAATTTCAAATCTTTTTCTTTTCAGGCTCAACGCCAATGGAGAAAGCTTTACGAGAGGACTGAAGTCGCCAAGAAAGCTTACTACACCGGTGAGTATAGTTTAAGAGTACCAGTTTTCTAGCAAAGTATCAATTTCACTAAGGTAACCCGTTTTGTTATTGCTATAAACAGTAATAGTCTGCAAAATTTCGTTTAATATTTTATAGCTTGCCGATCGGAGCGAAGTGCAGCCGTTTTGTTGGCAAATGCTCAACAAGACACATCGATCTCGTTGGATGGAACGCAGAAAATGAGAGTGAGTTATAGACTGGGTAAAGATCAATTTTAGCATATCTTATTGATCAACTAGCATATCTTATTGATCTATCTTAAGCATTTCTATCTTTCAGCTCTCCTAGTTGAGTCAGCTCTTCTAGTTGAGTCAGCTCTTCTATTTTTCAAATGTAACCTAATAACCAAAACGTTTCAGGATCGTTGTGAAAAGGCGCACGAAGAAGTGTTGAGAACGAAGCAGAACTATGAGAAGTTCCTTGGCGAGATCAACACTTACAAAGTATCCAAAGTTATTCAAAGTATTATTCAAAGTACAAACGTTAAAATTCAATTATATGGCAAGGTGTAAGAGTCACAAGTACCGTTAAATCTCTGGCTTAGAAATGCTGTTAGAGCTACAGTAGTCAAGCCTAACTGTTGTTTCATAATACTATTTGAATCCTTGTTCCCACATTCGATGAAACAACCCCCATTAAACCATTTCATCCAAAAGATTCTCATGACCCAAATATTTGCCCTTTTCAGAGCCCTTATATGGAAAACATGTCGTTTGTCTTTGCGAAATGTCAACAAATGGAGCTGAAAAGATTGAAATTCTTTGTGGAAATGATCACCGGTACAGAGCATGTTCTCGTCGATCTCATCAACAACAATAAGTGAGAAATTTGCGTAAGAATAGACAAGAGAGACAAGAGAGTGGAGAGTTGAAAACTATTAGGTTGTTATAAAGTTATAAACGATCGTTTTTGGGTAATGTGTTTTCTGAAAAAACGGCTTATCCAATCAAAAAACGATTTGCTTGATTCAAAAGCCCTATCCTTAATCTACAAAATGGCTTTTTTTGAATTTTTGAAAAATCTTTTATTTTAGAACTTTTTCTGGCATTTTAATGTATGGAAAGAATCTTTCGTTATACCATTATCAAAATCTTCCCCTAAAAATCATTTCTCAAACTACCGACCCATTAACTTGACCTCACCCCTATCCAAACTTTTCGAAATTATCCTTCATAATAAAATAATCAGTCATCTAAACATGAACAATCTTATTTATTTTGTTATTTTTGTTGGTTAAAATAAACTTTCGAGTTCAATGCTTGGTCATAGCTAAAAGTAGAGTAAAAATGCTCAAAAATACTTGTGAGAACTTTTTTATAGCCTCTCGGAAAGGTTCCTAAATTTACGTTTGAAAGTTGCCACCCAGGACCCGCCAAGACTTTTGTCCATGACTGTATTTTTGAGTGATTGAATACTTTTTAAAATAAAACGCTTCATCGATTAAATAGTTTCCCGAAATTTCAGAAAAATCCAATCGATCGAAACATTCTCTTTCTTTTAATCTCTTTCTTTTATTCTCTTTTTTTTTAATCTTGCTTAAATTCAAACGAAAATGGATTAAATTGGCACAAAAGTGCATTTTGAGCCTGATTTGAAAATCAACCTTCCGAAGATTGGATTGTTCTGAAATTTTGGAAACTATGTAATCGATGAAGCGTTTTATTTTAAAAAGTATGCAATCACTCATATATAATAGCTATAATAATATATTAGCTCATGAATGCTAGAAACAGGATTTTCAACTCTTACATTAAAATGCTTGAAAAAGTTCTAAAATAAAACATTTTTCAAAAATTCAAAAAAAGCCATTTTGTAGATTAAGGATAGGGCTTTTGAATTAAGCAAACCGTTTTTTGATTGGATAAGCCGTTTTTTCAGAAAACACATTACCCAAAAACAATCGTTTATAACTTGCCAACCTAATAGGTGAACTTGGACGAATTTGAACCAGATACCAAAATGAGCCTGTCAACAATCAGGTTTTAGATTCCAACAACTCCATGAGCAAATCCAGCAAAGACTGAGAACGACCGATGAGCGAGCTTTGAATGAAGATCTCACCACTTGGTGTCTAGTTTATGGAATCGATGCGCCGACGTGTTGGCCAAATTTCGAGGTAAGCAACTGCACGAGATTTTTGGGCAAAATTATCCGGATAACTTTTTGAAAAGGTTGTTGACGCTTAATTTATTTTAAAGTGTCAATTGTTATATCGAGAATTGTAGCCCTAAATCTTGGCTACATTTATCTACTAAAAACTTCCCAATCGGATTTATGCAGCTCATTTAACAAGTCCTTAAATGAGCACTGTCGTCCCTATGCGATTTTTGACAATTTGACGATGACGATATCTCGTTATAGTAGCTGTTATAGCGCTATGAAATTGTTGGAAATAACTTTTTAAACAAAATGCACACAAATTTAATTGAACAAAGTCCTTTTTAGATAAAATTTTTATGTAGAAAATCGTCAAAAATGGCAAGGCGCTGGAGCGGGATCGACTAGTGCTCATTCAAGGACTTGTTAAATGAGTCCGATTGGAAAGTTTTTAGTAGATAAATGTAGCCAAGATTAAGGGCTACAATTCTCTATATAACGCTTGACATTTTGAAATAAATTAAGCGTGCGACAACTGCTTTTCTAAAAAGTTGTCCGGGTAATTTTGCCTAATCTTGTATACGGTTTTTTGGTCTTCATCAAAAACAAGATTAACATCTTGTTATTTAGGAGTACCATCCAGAAATGCGAGAGATTTCTGCGAGAAAGTGCTCAGCAAAGGATGCTTCTGGTGGAGTGGTCTTGACGAGGCAAGTGATCAAAGCTGACGATGAAATTCTACCAACTGTGGCTCCTCATCAGTTCCAAAAGCCACAAGAAAAAAGGTAAATAGATGAAATATATATGAATGATGATGATGAAATATATAAATGTTTGATTTTGAAGCCATTTAAATAGGCGTCTGGTTTTGAAGCCATTTAAATAGGCGTCTGGTTTTGAAGCCATTCAAATTGACGTCTGGTTTTGAAGCCATTTAAATAGGCGTCTGATTTTGAAGCCATTTAAATAGGCGTCTGGTTTTGAAGCCATTCAAATTGACGTCTGGTTTTGAAGCCATTTAAATCGGCCATCTGATTTGGAAGCCATTCAAATAGCCGTCTGATTTTGAAGCCATTTAAATCGGCGTCTGGTTTTGAAGCCATTTAAATCGGACGTTCGATTTTAAAACTATTCAAATCGACCATCTGATTTGGAAACCATTCAAATAGCCGTCTGATTTTGAAGCCAAATGGCTTCAGCCAATCAAATAGGTCATCTGATTTGGAAATCTTTTATCTTCAAACCTCTTTTTACCTAAAAAAGTAATTTCACAAAGAATTTTATTAAATTTTGCCGACAAAATCTAGCCAAAACAAAAAAAAATTCTAGTTTTGTTCAGCACTTTAATACCTTAACGAAAGCTTTATCTTAAAACTATCGAAATTTCGCCCATTTTGTTTATTAATCAAACTTTAAATAATACATTTTACAATGTACATTTACATTGCAATGTAGTTTATCAAAAACATTAAGAAATACAAAAGAAATGCATATTTTTCTTTATTTTCTAAGAAACTTGCAAAAACTCTAATTTCTTTAGTAATTTAGTGGTTCTAATGCTAAAACCTTCTGTTAAAAAGGTTTCAAAATCGAATTTAGCATATAAAAACATTTATAATATATAAAAATCATTTATAATATATAAAATTATCATTTAAATCCTTAGAGGACTTGAGATTCACCGACCACAACCGGGCAGCAGTCATGGAAGCGAAAATGGAAAGCAAGGGGTGAGTCGAAAAGTTGGTTTTGTTTGTTTTATAACAAGTTGAGCTATTATTTAAGTTTAAGTCTGTTTAGCTGGCCGTTATTTAACTTTAACTCTTAAATAATAGGCTTATTACAATATTGAAATTCTAGAGCAGCAGCGACTCCGATACCAACACTTTCGATTCACAGAAGAGCAATCAGAAGAACCGGAATAACAACAATAACAACAATAAGGTTAGTGATCGAAAATATCAACAAAACATTGTTCAGAACATAATCAATGTGAATGGCTACAATGGAAATGAGGCCAGGAGATGGGAATCGTTGCCTCAAAAGCCCGTTACTTCAATGATCCATCCACCACTTCACTCAACGAATTCGATGAATTCCTCTTCTGCTGCTAGCAATCCACCATCGTCAAGAACCCCGGATTCAGAGAAATTCTCCGAATTCGATGATTATCAGAAAGTGAGCAAAGAGTGAAGATAAAAATAAAGATTTGTTTTTAGCAGCTCGCAACCGTGCTCTACGATTACAGTCCGATTGAGAATGACGAGATCGGCTTGAAGAAAGGTAGAATAGACCTAAAACTGGAGATTAACTATATATAGGCATTTATATTATATAGTGCAGGAGATTTGAATTATGGAGCATTTGATACGTGCCCTGTTCCCTTTGCCATTTGCCCTGTTCCCTTTGCCAAATCTAACTTTGAGCTGAAATATCTTGTTGTTAGGCTGTTCAATTTAAATATTCTTGGTATCATTAGATGTGCCAAGTCTTTCTCTGTCGATTGGTACACAAACTTTTTCAATTGGACAGCCCAACAGCGAGATATTTGAGCTCAAAGGTGGATTGCCAATGGCAAAAGGGCGGGGCACGTATGTCCCACCTTTTATACGCGTCCCGCCCCATTTGCCATTGTCAACTTTGAGCTCAAATATCTTACTGTTGGGCTGTCCAATTGAAATAGTTTTTGTACCAATCGACAGAGAAAGATTTGGCGCATCTAATGATACCAAGAATATTTAAATTGGACAGCCTAATACAAAGATATTTGATCTAAAAGTCAGTTTGCCAATGGCAAAAGGGGCGGGCGCGTATCAAATGTCCGATAGCCTGAGATTTGAGGGCTGTAATACTCTTTTCTTAACACATTCGCGACGATTTTCTTAATTCTTAACACATTCGCGCGATTTTCTTAACACATTTTGGTCGTGCAATTGCTTAGTCGTTAACTGTTTTATTAATATTTAGATGAAAATTCAAAGACAAATTCAACTATTATAGTCATTAGAAAGTCCTGAATCTTTTCTTGAAACTAATACAAAGTACTAAGAACTTTTTGCGAAACAAATAACAAAACTTGAGTTGACATCAAAAATACTCGTCATTAGAACGATCGTATCGTCGTGAACGTGTTAAACATACAATTTTACATTGGGTGTCTTATCTATTTAAGCAAGCAAGGCTGTTCGGAAAAGCTAAAAGTTATAGTATTCAAGCCAAGACCAATCCAAGATCGATAAATCGAAAACCAAGGCTTAGCCTGGAGAATTGCGGCATGAAACAGCCCTGTAGGTCAAAGGGATAAAAAAGAAGAATGAGTCCTAAAAAGAATGAGTCCGAGTTTTGAGCACAAATTGTACATTAAGATAACCACCTTATCTTACTACTAAATTTAGGTGAAACGATTGAGGTGCTTTCCGAGCCAGACTCTCTCGGTTGGTGCACGGGGAGAAAGGGCGGCTTGACGGGACTCTTCCCGGCTAGCTATGTTCAAGTTATGTGAAAAAAAAGCCAAAATATTCTATAAATCGTGATCAGTTTTATTCTGTGCTTTACCCTTGTGATCCGTCAAATTCACTTTGTAGCTGAACTAAAATTCGAAATTTGAACTAAAATTTGCATTATTTGAATGTTTGATAAAGTTTTATTGATAACAAGCTATGAATAATAGAAAAAAATAGACAACAGACTAAAAGAACATTTAAATTGAACACCCAAACACAAAGATATCTAATCTAAAAGTTAGATTGCCAATGGCAATCATTAGCTATAAATTAATGAAAGTCAAAAGTGAATCAAGCAATATGCACAGGATTTTCTCGATCTTTTTACCAGCCAAACATTTTGTTGAATTGTTCTCCTATTTCGTTTTGCTCTTCCTCTCTTGGCAAACCTGTTGGACTGCAAATCAAAACCTGAAAAATATTTGTCTATATCATTCAAGTTTTTCCAAAACCTTATTCGACAAAAATCTTATCGGAATCAGTCTGCAATTTTTTGAGCCAAAGACTCTTGTGTTTGCTTCAAGGATCTGAAATCAAAATTAGCACTTCAGTTGGTGAATTTAGCTCACATGTTTCTCCATTTCTTCTTTATTCTGCCAGGCGTCCATCACCAAAACGTTGTAGATGACGACACCTGAAGAATAGAAGGCCGAAATTATGGAAAAATATGGAGTTAATTAAATGGTTAGTTGCCCAGTATACAGATCCCATTGTCCACTTTCCAGCTGATCTCAAGCTTTAAAAAGTTACTGATATATTAGGCTGTCCAGAAAGTCTTTCGTACTTCCGTTGAAAAAGGCTATCGGACATTTGATACGTCCCTTGCTCCCTTTTGCCATTGGCAATCTAACTTTTAGATCGAATATCTTGGTGCTTGGCTGTCCAATTTAAATATTCTTGGTATCATTAGATGCGCCAAGGCTTTCTCTGTCGATTGATACAAAAAGTATTTAGATTGGACAGCCCAACACCAAGATATTTGAGCTCAAAGTTGCCAATGGCAAATGGGGCGGGAAGAGGTATAAAAGGTGGGACGTTCGCGCCCCGCCCCTTTTGCCATTGGCAATCCACCTTTGAGCTCAAATATCTTGGCGTTGGGCTGTCCAATTGAAATAGTTTTTGTACCAATCGACAGAGAAAGACTTGGCGCATCTAATGATACCAAGAATATTTAGATTGGACAGCCCAACACCAAGCTATTTGAGCTCAAAGTTAGATTAACAATGGCAAAGGGAGCAAGGGACGTATCAAATGTACGATAACCTAATACAATGCTGTCTGACATTCTCAGGACTTGTAAGCCCGCCCAGAAGCCATTTCCAATGGGATTTCTGGCGGGGTGAAGCCAAGATAGACGTATAGTAAAGCCAAGTCTTTTTCCAGCCCAATGTTACACTGGTACTGAATATTTTCAGGTTTTTGCCTTTAAGTGTAACCTGTCCAACTCACCACTTTGCCTCAAAAGCTTTTTGAACGCGACCAATCCCTCTTTTTCCATGAATGGATCGACCGGGCAAACGTTTGGCTTTTTCCTGTTATTGTAACAGGCATCAACGATTATCGCATCGAAAATGCCAACTGAAATTCAGATAAGAAAACTTTAGAATACAAATTCAAACCGTTTTTCTTTGCCACTTGATCCTTGATAAATTTTGCGCCATCCTCGATTATGATTCGACTTTTCGCATTCTCGACGACTTCAAATTGCTCTAATGCCATCGGTTTTGTGGCCGGATTGATATCAACCATTGTTACATTGATCTGAAAGTTTTGGATCAGGAATTTTCCATGAATATAGCTTGATAAAGATTCACTTTTTGGAAAGCGGTTGACACAAAATTGCTGATTCCACCACCGCCAAGGCCGATGAACAAGACATCACCAATGACTGACTCTGAAAAAAACAATAAACATTTTAAGCGCTTCAAAGATGAATCCTGGAACTTTTACAATGATTTCAAAGTCTTTAGCTTCTTTATATTTAGAGATCTTGGCAAACTTGTCAATCCAAGAGCTCCCGAAGTGAACATTGAAGAGACGATGACTGATAAGTAGCCAATTCTCGGCTTTCCCATCTTTTCAATGTGCCATTTGCTCGAATTCAAATTTTCTTTTGTGTATTCTAAAGTTTTAGTTTAAAAATAAACCAAAACGGCATTTTTAAAGTACCTGTTGGCAATTTGAGCGGCGTTTCTACTAAAATCACTTCAGCGAAACCTTGTGGTGTGATGATTCGTTGAGGACCATCACTAAAAGGCTTGCCTTTTTAAGAAAGCTTTAAACCTAAACTTACAACTTAGAATATCCGCCTGGCACTTCTTTAACCGTTTGCCAGACATCTTGCACAATGAAGCAATCGTTTTGCCAGCAATATTTTCCACGAAATTGCGGTTTTTTCAGATTGGTCTAAATTTTAGGAGAACAAGCTGAATTCGATTCAAGAATTTGATTCTCAAGCTTAACTTCGGGAAACTTTCAACTTCAGGGCCTATAGGGCAGGATGAGCCAGGCCAACTCACAGATTAGACCGGCTCAGGAAGGCCAGAAGCCAGGTGGTCAGGCCTGACTTCTTAGACATGAGCTTGCTCTTGCTTGCTTGCTTGCTTTGCTTGCTTGCTTGCTTGCTTGCTTGCTTGCCTCGACTTGCTCGACCTGTAGTGAAGTCAGTCAAGACCAAAAGCCAGACAAAAGCTAGCTGCTACCCAGACTTGGCTCGAACTACCTTTGAAGTGCTCAAGTCTCAAACTCTGCTCAAGCTCAAGTCTCAATGCTTATCCGAACTCACCTTGACCCGGTATAAAAATTCATCTTGTGTAATATAATGTGTGGGTTCACTGCTTGGCGATATCACCTTCCAAAACAGAAAAGCCATCATAGCTAACTAAAAGAATTCAACTGTGAATACTAGAGAAACCCACAGCAGCAAAGAGAATCAATGTGTAGCGGTTGACTCGAAGAGAATTTTTCAGGTATCTCCGTAGTTGTTGGGACATTATCTGAAAGTATGCAATGAAGAGTATGGTAACTTAAAAACATCTGCATAACAAGTAGATAGTGCAGTTAGGGATACATAACCAATATTTTGCTTGTCCAGTTGGATATCAAAAGTATTGAGTGGAATCAGGACCGGGTTCTTCTATGCACTGTCTATGTAATCTTTTTTACGTTATGAGCATAATTTTTGGCTAAAAAACTGTGTAGAATCAATACTTTAGACTAAACTAAACAACTATTAGGGTGTCCGGAATGAAAATACTCTCAACTTCAATTGCTATTTTTTCCGTGTAGCGAACTGCCAATTTTTTTTGGTGTCACCTCTGATTTCTGTTTTGTTCCAAAGTTGTAGATCTTTTCTAATTCTATGTTTTTATAAAATTTACTACCTTATAATTTTGCCTTTTTTTAGAATTGAAGATCAGAAGTACCGAATTCGGGTGTGCTGGCTCTACGACTTCAAACAAGGAAAAAGTGTCCGGGAGAGCCATAGTTCAATCTTGAAAGTCTTTGGAGAAACTTGTAAAGCTTGTATTCAGAAGCTTGGAGAAGCTTTTGGAGAAGCTTGTATTCAGGGCAAGCTTGTAAAAAATGGCTTCAACAATTTAGAGAGGGAGATGGAACTCTAAAGGATCGTGGACGTGGTCAGCCCCCTCCAGCGCTCAACGATGACGATCTTTCAGAAGCCATTGAAGATAACCCAACCTTGTCGACTCGGGAACTTACAACGATGTTTGCTTTAAGCTGCACAACAATTGCGGACCATTTACATCGTTTGGGTAAAGCGTATCTCGTCAGAAAATGGGTACCCCATCAACTTCGTGACGCTAATAAAGCTACTCGAGTGACTATGGCATGGACTATGAAACTATGGAATTGAGTGACTATGGAATGAAGCCGGTATTCTTCTTCGTCAATCAAAAAATCGAGGTTTTTAGGATACTACTGTGACGGCCGATGAAAAATGGATTTACTACGATGACTCATTGCGCAAACGGTAGTGGTTAAGTCCAGGAAAACAGCCAAAAACGACGCCACATCGTGACCCGCATGGAAGAAAGGCCAGGTTATCTGTTTGGTGAAATTCCCATGGTCTTATACACTTTGAGGTTCTACCTTCTAGTCGAACAGCCACCTCAGATCTATATGTGCAACAGCAGGAAAGAGTAGACCAGCACCCGGTTTCACCACCATTTTAAGTCAGTGACTTAGGGAGAGGTGACTTAGCGATTTTTGCTAAGTCAGTGACTTCGTTAGGTCACCGACTTGGCAAAAATTTTTAAGTCACAGACTTAACGAGAATTTTAAGTCAGTGTGACTTAAAAGATAAGACACCATTTCACCACCATTTAAGTCAGTAATTTTGAATTAAGATTAAAATGAGCATATTACAATTTCAAATGAAATAAACGTTTATTCGGGCTTTACTTATTTGTTACTTATTTAGTTAAGTATTTGTTACTTTACATTATTTGCTATTTGATTAATTGTTCTATATAACCAATTCTTTTATTCTTTTCCGTTATCTTTTTAAATCTTCGATAAATTTAAGTTCTCCAATTGATATTGGATTGCTGAGAGCTTCTTTTATCAAGGTGTTGTTGTTTTGCGGTGAAGACAAGACATAATTTCCACTAAGTCACCTCTAGGAGAAGCCCCCTAGCTGACTTAGCGATTTCCATAGAAACGCGAAGTCAGTGATTTAGCGTGGTGAAAATGGTGACTTAGCTCTAAGTCAGTGTCCTAAATTGGTGGTGAGATGGTGACTTAAGCATTTTAAGTCACTGACTTAGCTTAAGTCAGTGACTTAGCAGTGGTGAAACCGGGCCCAGGCTGTCAAGAATCAAGGTGTAAACACATCGACTATGAGATATCTGTAAGATAACGCGCGCCCACACACAGCAAAGAAGATGCAGGAAAAACTCGAGGAATTGGGTTGGGAAAGTCTCCCGCATTCGCCGTATAGTCCAGATCTGGCACCCTCAGATTACCACTTATCTAT